CTACCCCCACCCCACCAAAACAAACAACTCTCGAATTCGGCCTTTTTTTAAAACCTTGGTTAAAACCAGCGTAATGTTTTCAGAATAACCCAAGCCAGACTGGAGACAGCCACTGTTTGGTGAGACAGTCCTTGCCAGGCAGGTACGGTACATAGCCAGTTGGTACGACCTTGGACAATATTGTGTCTCCACCGACGGGACTGAACAAAGAAGCCTGGGCAAACCTACCCCACCTCCCCTAAAAAAAAGGAAAATCTCAATAAAAACTATAATATGACCCAAACTGCACAGGAAGATGACGAACCGGAGGTGTGGTGTATTGTTTCCCCTACAGAACTAACTAGAATCTACGCCAGAGGTCTCCTCCCCCCAAAACCCAACAAACTATATGTACAAACATTTAAAAGAAGTGGAGGTAGCAGCAGCAACAGCAGCAGTATTATTATTTTTTAAATTATTATTATTATTATTATTATTAGTAGTAGTAGTAGTAGCAGTAGTAGTAACAGTAGTAGTAGTAGTAATACAGACATTATAATATTACAGCGTAAATCGAGGCTGCGTGTTTTCGTCTTCTCTGTGACTGACTCTGCGAAGAGGGAGGAGGAATGCAAGTGCCAAGTGCAAAACCCGCGTGAGTTTCATCGTTGAAAGGCGGAACAATCCGCACCCCTCCAGCGCTCATGTAGATCTCTACATGTAGTTCCTCCTTGCCGCTGTGTTGGCAAAAGCTACATTCCAACCAGCATTTTGCCAGAAGTAGGCCTAGGGAATCCTTGTACCAACTGCCTCCCTTTCCCTTCCCGCCGCCAGACAGTCACGTGTATTACTGACCTGGGCCGACCTGCTGTATCTAAATAGGTCACCTCCCTCGTTTTCTCAGACGGATATCCGACGCAGCACCATGTTATTTGGATGAGTTAAACTTACGCGTCGTTAAATTGTCCCATATGTTAAAACGTCACTGAGATCTGATTCTACTTCTATATTGGATCAAACTTTCTTTTCTGACCATCGGAATATATCTTCCTGCGCACTGAATTTAATACACAACAATATTGTGCTGGGTTTAATAATCGTTATGTTGGGACTACTTTCAAACTGCCTTGCTGGAAGGAGCCGCCATAGTTTATTGTGGACGGTTGCAGTCACTTCAGACGGATACGATATGTGAATCACCAGTGGGCTGTTGAGTCTTTTGGTTCAGTTCGACTTGATTTCATATTTGTTGGATATCTGCTTATTTCAGTTTGTTCGTGGATTTTATATGTGATGCCTCAATGGAGTGGGTCGTGAAAACAAGCAAAACCCACGGAACTCATGTAGGGCTATTTCGTGTTCGTGAGAGGACCAGTAGTAGTGCGTGTTGTTACTTTCTCAGTGTCTCCCAATTCACGGATGTATAGCACATGCTTACCCACGACATAATGGTGTCTTGACTTAAAAAAGATGCGTATTCTAAAGGCCTACGTTATTAATGTCGTGTCTCAAATCTAAGTTAGATTTAGGCCGACTTATTTACTTTTTACAATGAGTAAATCACATGTGAAAAAGGCCGTGAATAGTGTGAATGGCGATGTCTCGGATGAACACAAAAAATCTCCGTCTCGTTCAAAACGTCAGCCTCACCATCACCAGCATCATGCAGGACAAGACGTTGACGTGGGGATTAAAAGTAAGAAATCAGAAAAAGCAGACAAAGGTGAGGTGATTGTTGATAAAAACAAGAAGCAAGTTGTGAATGAACAATTGAATGAATTGCAAGATTCGAGTGTGTTTTTGCGGCCCTCTCGCTCTTGTGCCACCAGGAGATGCATTTCAGATAGCTTTTCAGTGAAGTCTGACAGCAATAATACTCCTTCTCCTAGTGCTAACAATTCTGAAGCTGATCTTGCCAATAGTGTGAAAAGATCTCCGGGTTCTCGCTCGAGATACAATTTTACTCCGTTGGTCAATAGTTCTATACCCTTCAAGGTGGGTGGAACGTCGGTTCGTCCCTGCCCATCTAAAATTGTAGAGCACGGGAAAATAGAGAAAGAACTACGTGGTGGGGATAGTGTAGACTCTAATGTGCCTGTGAGAATTGGAAGAAAGTCTCAGAATTTAAGTAAATCTCCACGTCGAAAACTTGAGCATATGAAGAAAAGTATGCAAGGGAACAAGAGTGAAGTGTCACCATCACGAATGCCCACTGTGAAGGAGAGCACAGTGTCTGTTGAAGCGGGTGTGCCATTGAAATCTGTGGTGCCAGTTGTGGAAAAGACTGTGGAGGCTAGTGTACAAATTTCAGAAGCTCACATACCACCTGAATCCAGCATTCAGAATGGTTGTGTAGAAAACAAAGGAGCTGAGCTGTCTGTGATAAAGAATGATGTAAAAAGTGTACAGGATAATTCTATAGTCAATCATTTGAACCCTGGTCCTGGTGACCAAACAAAACCTACTGAAGATACAGCTAAAATGCCTGAACGCAAGCCATCTGTCACTTTTGCCCCGTCTGTGAAAATTGATGTAGATAATGATGGTGAATCTACGAAGTCAAAGAAGAAAGATGAAGACACAAAGTCTTCCCGGATGTCGCCAAACCATCGATTCATGAAACTTGATGAAGAAGTTGGCAGAGGGTCATTCAAGACGGTACATAAAGGCTTAGAGATCGACACAGGAGTACACGTTGCTTGGTGTGAGCTCCAGGTACGTATAATTTGTATTGGGGTTTTGATATACGAGTAAGTCACCACTGATATAGACCTAATCCTAGCCAAAATAAGACGTGACTTCGTGTAATTACGGTCATACTAAAATGTGAAAAGATACGATACCGGTCCTAATTGGGAAGATGCCGTGGGCACTCATGACCTTATGATGCAGTTGCAAGTGCTGTAAAACACTTACTAAAAAAAAAAATTTCATGTGGAGAGAGTTGCATGGCAAAAATCCACAAGATGCGTATAACAATATAATTTTCCACTTGTCACAGTCACAGTGGTACCCAGCGCCACTGGGTAAAGAAAGTCCTATCATAGTAATTACATAACTGGGCTAGGATCTAATATTTTACCAGTAATATTGTAAGACGACAATAAAGAAAACGAAGTGACTATTTCTCAGAACGCTCAGGATAATAAACTTGAACTTTAAATATATATATTTCTCCAGTTTCCATTCTCGAGTTTTGTTGGTTATTTGGGAGAGTTCGGTGTCATCTCTCATTCTGCCACTCTGAGGACTGGGAAGAAGCATTTTTTTTGGTATCGAATTCAATTTCTAGCACTAGAAATTTTTAGTTGTCTGAATATTCAGGTACCTCAATTATAGTTGGGGCAACATTCCCGGACTATGCTTCATTTGAAAAGGCCTTCAAAAGGTACTGCGAGAAAACAGGACTGCTCGACCTTTTTCGCAGTTGGAAGTGGCTGTCCTCACACCGGGTGAGACCTGCCAGCGTTGCTTATCACACCCGGTGTGAAACAAGACCTGTTTTTCCTAATTTCGGAATACTATCGGTGTGGATGATCAAATTGACCCCCCCCCCCCCCCCCCCCCCAAAAAAAAAAAGACGTTATAACTTATAACACAAAAGTAGGCTAATTTGGTCATCTACAAAGATGCTTTATGGCTATTTCACTTTTCGAATCGAGCCGAACTACGTGGGTCGCCATTTTGATTTGACCGGAAGTTCTCGCAAGATCTACTCCTTCTCTCTCTCTTTCTGAATACTTTCTATCGGTGAGGATGATCAAATTGACAAAAACAAAGGAAAAAAATGTTAAAACACAAAATTAAATTAATTTGGTCATCTACAAAGATGCTACGGCTATTTAACTTTTCGAATCGAGCTGAACTACACGCGGATTGCCATTTTGTTGTGCCCGGCGCCCGGAAGTTCTTGCGCGCTACTCCCCCCCCCTTTCTCTCTCACTGCCCACAGACAAAATTGCTCACTTTCAACGCAAGAGAGCTGGAACGTTTATTCACGGTGAACGCTACACTGGTTGGCCTATCATGGTGAAGGCACACCGGGTGAGAATAGCCAAAATGCTCGCCTGCGCTCACCTGGGGTGAGAATAGAGGTAGCCTTGCCTTAGCAGTTACCTATTTTGCATTTAGTCACCCTAATGCAAAAGGAAGTGACTCTTCGGACTCGAGTCCTTATATGAAAAAAATGTTATTCAGACTCTTGATTCTTGTCCAGCATGACATCACTTCCGACTTCCTGTGACTCGTGACTCCGGCTTCCTGTCCTGCCTCACTCGTGACTCGCCTCAGGCTGGGTAGAGGCCGAGATCACTTCGGGGGCAAAATGGCGTTTTGTGCAGTAGCCAAGTTTTTATCTTATTTATGATGAAATTTGAGGCCGGCCTGAAAAGTTATAGCGCTTCTAATAAATGTTTATTTGTCAAAAGGTCATCAGAAGCAATTAAAGATGGCTCGTTAGTGTGTGTCGGGGTCGGATGGGCGGTCTGCACACGTGTGGCTGTGTGTGCGTGTCGGGTAGGGGGCACTATCGGTCCGGGCGTTGAACGTCGCATATGCGTCAGTCTTTTTTCCCACGGCAACTGATCATTATTACAATAATAAGCTAGTCTTGACGTAGATCTACGTAATGAATTGTTCGCTGGTCTATGGAATCAAAAGTTGCCGTATGCTCGGCTTTACACAGTAACAACTTTTTCTTGGAAAACAATCGAGATGACACAGGCTTGTGTATTTGAACGAATCGGTCTTTTTTTTCTTTACACAGCTCATAATATGCAGGTGCCAGGTGGTCTGCTTATCTTCAATTTTACCTTTTTCTACAACAAAGTGGGAAACATGGGGGGGGGGGGGGCGTATCAATGAGGCGGCAGGCATCGGATCGGCAGATTATAAGGTGTGGGGGAAACAAAAAAATGGCAGAAAATTGGAAGCACTGAACGTTAGATCTATAGAACGAAGACACTTCCTTTTTTCCCGGACCCGAGTCCGAATAACATTTTTTCATATTCGGACGTCCGAATAAAGACGGCCAATGCTAAAACTAAATCACAACCCCCCCCGTTCACACCGTACACACATAGTGCACACACACTCACATGGCACCTACATACACACAAACACACACACACTCGGGCCACTCCATTCGCAAATTAAAAAAATCTCGAGAACGGAAACCGTTTGGAGAAATAGAGTTCCAAGTTTTTTTCCAGAGCGTTTGGAGAAATAGAGCTGGCCAATAAAAATAAAACATCAAAAGGACATCATGCGCCAATCTGGCATTCATCCGGAAGTCTCGGGTGTTCATCATGGCCATGGCGGAATATTTAAACAAACTTGTAGGGACCGTAAATGGTAAGGATTACCCCAATTTTTATCACAGTAACCCTGAAAATGAGTCTGAAGTCTAAAGGGACACAAATCAGATGCCTTTTTCGTGTCTTTTCGCATTTTAGTATGACCATGTAAATGCATTTTACGAGGGGTTTACTTCGATTCCAATGTTGGCCCCTTTTTAAATAGGGTTGGTTGGGCTTAACTTTGATGTGAATTTATGACATGATAAATGTTGTTTAGCATGATGTGTTTGAAATGAAGCTAGGCATACAAAGAACTTTTAGGTCTAGTGTTAGATTGATTGCTATTCTACTCTTGTTTCATTGTGATCGCTCTTTACTGAATTCTTCCCTACGTCACAGTAGTTATTTTTTAGGGTCCGGCTCAGGATGTAAATTATGTGTGGGTTCTAGGCATCATAATTTACTTTTTTTAAAGTTCTGAATTGTATGGGTTTTGTATAAAGTTCGACAATAATTATGAATAATATTTGTTGATTAGCTCAACTGGTTTCAGTTCCATGTAATTTCAGGGGTAGTTACATTACTAAATGTGCTGTTCATGCAGTTTAGGTTTGTTATGAAGTGGCTTTCTTTTACTTTCGTGAAGAGAGGTTGGTGAAAATTAAGTAATGTGGAAAAGCTGTCTTTAAATAATAAAAAGACTATGTGACTAAAAAGACGACTTTTCCTTAATTTAGGTTTTTGTTTTATATCTGTCTAAAAGAATTAAGATGCTTTTGTCTTTTTGTTTTGAATTAAATTTACAGATTCTGGAACTAAGTGCATAAAATAATATTTATTATTACTGCCAGGGACCGGATGTTGACCTTAGTTGTTGTGATTTCTGAGTGGGTTGTAATGAAATGTTTTTAATTTGGAGTCTATATTTAGGGAAACAAAGGCAATATGCTTTTCAAAAGTTAGTTAATTGCTCAAACGTGTGGTAAGATATAAAATTTACTGTTTCAGTCTCAGAGCGAACAGGTTGTTTTCTTTTTCCTATTCCGAATCTGGTGGTTTTTTTGAAGGGTATTGAACATTGTCTGTCTTGGTCTGAAAATATTATCTCAGGTTACTTCACCCCTCTCGGTAGCTGTTAATAGTTGTCAGTGAATTTTAGCTTTAGATAGATGACAGATTTATATGTTAGTTTCATTTTCAATTTATTATTTATAGGACAAGCGATGGAGCAAAAATGATCGCAAGCGTTTCAAAGAGGAGGCAGAAATGTTGAAGGAGCTTCAGCATCCAAACATTTTACGCTTCTTTGATTATTGGGAGGAGGAAGGCTCTCACAAGCAGAAAATTATTGTACTTATCACGGAGTTGATGACTTCTGGAACCCTCAAGACGTAAGTATGCTCTGTTATTTGCACCATGAATTCCCTAATTTAAAAGTAAGACCTAATTTTCAGAATTGTGTGGTTGGTCTTATGTTTTGTTCTAAGGTAGAGCGACATTACTGCACATTTTGTAGTTTTGAGAAGAAGGAAAAAAACCTGTTCTACTGCATTTAGAGCTGTCTTAAGTTATGATAGTAAAGTAGATGTGTCACTGACATTGGGATTAAGATCGGTCACCTGGGCAGCTTGATCACTTTGAAAACTACTATTTCAGCTAGATGTAAAGTTATGTTGTCCTGCCATTGGCACAAAAGAATTGGATATGGCAATCATATGGTCGAGATTAGTGTCGACAAATGTCAACAAAACCAAACTCAATTTTGTCAAATGCTATATCGCTATTCCTTCTGATTGCAGAGATACCCGTAACCATTTAACCTAATTTGGAAACATACTGGATTGTACTTGTAGAGAGATGAAATTTTTCGTTCAGTTGCTTCATAGCACAGGAAAAAATCCTGTTGTATGCCACTTTTATGAAAATCATTACGTTTCGATAGTGTGGTGATATAAGGTAAAGACTGTTATTTCTAGATAGTATTGTAGGTTAAGTGGGATGATATCATGTATGATATTGTAGGCGGGAGGATGGTTTGTTTGATTTCCTCGTTTTTTTGTGTGTGCTTCTTGGGTTTTTTTTGTGTGGACATTATACTCTGTTTAATTTAACAATTTTAGTGTGGTCGTGTAGATTGACAGATTTTTTTCCCCTCTTGAAAATAAAATTATTGAAGTTTTTTATGTTTTACTTTTTATTTGTCTTATGTCTTTAAAGGAAAATCAAGAAGAACACATTGTAATCTATTGTTTTTATTGTAGTAGAAAGTTTCTACTCAGCCTATTTGCTGGTATATTTTATTTCTGTGAACATCCTTTTTCCCTGATATTTTGTTTAAATTACTTCCTCATACTACCATTACTAATGACATGAAGTGTTCTTTTTTCTTTTTAATACAAATTAATGTAAACATTAATCATTTGTTCTTGCCCTTCAGATGTGGGGATAAGGTGTTGATAGAGGTTCTGTCTTTTTAACTGTTTTCATCATGGGTTGTGACTTTTCAACAGGTACCTGGGACGTTTCAAGAAGCTGAACCTGAAGGTTTTGAAGAACTGGTGCCGCCAGATCTTGAAGGGCCTTCAGTACCTGCACACCCGGACTCCTCCGATCATTCACCGTGACTTGAAGTGTGACAACATATTCATCACGGGAACCACTGGATCTGTCAAGATTGGCGACATGGGGTTAGCCACATTGAAAAGCAATTCATTTGCTAAAAGCGTTATAGGTAAGCAGTATGATTTTGTTTTCAGAATAGTTTTTTCTTTTGAATTGTTACTCTCATGTTATAATAATTTGAGGCCTTTTGCTGTTTCAGGCTTAAAGCAGTTGGTAATTTTTTTTCTCTCTGTATATTTCAAGGCAATAATTTGAATACTTCTGTCTTTAGTTGCAGGTAATTCTCACATAATTTACTGTGGGTAAGTGACACCATTTTGTATCTAGTTTTATTATGTGAAGTAAATGTTTACAGCTTGTGTGGGTTGTTACAGTTATTGTAGAACACACCTGTTAGTGTTACAGGGTTTTTTCATTTTGTTTGGTACAAATAGTATTGGCTTGTTCTTATGACAATTAGTAAAGTACCGTTGAAGATTCTATGGTTGACGCGCACACACCCACACACTAACATATGATACAGAAATTCACTATTTAGTAGTGGAAAAGTATTTTTAATTTGGTGAGCAAAGTATACATGTATTTTCCTGTTTGCTATTATTGGAAACTTTGATTGTAATAAATGTATTATTACTTGATTAAGGCTTGATTTCCTTGTTTATAAATGTCAAGGAATGAGGTGGGGAGAGGGGGGGGGG